GCGCATGAGACATGGTTGCAACGGCACTCGGGATTCCCATCTTATATGAATTTGTGAAATAGCCCGCGCGTTGCGGTAGGGTAAAGATTCCATAATTTGCAGCATTGGAACAATCAAAGAAATTTGATCATCGCTCGACAAAACGTTTTTGTTTTGCTAGATCATCAATACTGCATCAACCTCAAAGAAAGAACCAGATACTGCCCCGTTCGCGTACTACACTTTGACGMTAGAAGCTTTTATKCACTCGTGAACGAATCTTGTTGGATGAGCGAGTCTTGATTATGATATTATTGTCATCACTATTTTCAGTTGTAAAATGTCGAAAGGCATAATAGCTTTTGGTACTATAATGTATCGTTACTGATGGTAAAACTAGTTTTTATAGTCCATGCTACTACTATAGGCCAGACTCTGTATCTTGTTTGCACCTTTACGGATGAAATACGATTGATGGGGGTTCGGTGATACTCTAGCAGAACTACTAACACAGAAAATTAAATGGGGTTTGGCAGTCCTAAATTTCTGAAATAATCTTTTTTGGTAATTGATCATGCACATAAAACAGTCAGAACCATTTTTGAGGGCAAAAACATTCTTGTGGTACACTTTCAGTCTTACAATGAATTTAGAATTTCTTACTCCATGATTATCCAAACTGTTTGTGTGCATTTGCTTGNTGCTGACCTTCAAATTTAGAGTCATTTTGGTCAAAGGACAATCAATAATGCTAAGCACAATAGTCATTATGTTGAAGCAGAAGGAGGAGAACCAGAAATGTTAAGTAATGTATTAAATTGGTGGTTCCAGGGGGGGGGGCTTCTCCTTGGGTCGTTTTTGAGATTTCTTGCTTTCTTGGCAATTGGTGACAATCAAGAAGTTGGAAGTTGAAAAGAAGAGAATAAATATACCTACTAGTAGTACTAAATAGTCTTTTCAAATGGAATTGTTGATGGAAAGGGGAGTCATCTGGTGAGGGGTTGAAAACACTAAAAATCTGTACGAAGTTCTTTTT